TACAACAGATGATGGGGCCACCCAGACTAAATGCATGCAAGCAATGTGGATGTAAGTGTTTAGCACTAATTCATTTGTCTACTCTCTGCAGGTCAAAAATCTTCATCCGTTTCCCCAAAACTCTCTTCAACACTGAGGATGCATTAGAAGCAAAAAAGCCAGACATAGGTAAGAAAGAGTGGTAAGGACTGTAAACAGTGGGGTTTCAGAATGGAAACGAAAAAGATAAAAGATAATGACTCTCGGTAAAATACAGCCTTCATGAAGTACAACTGTGATGTGTTTATGGTGTCAGAGAGGTGATGTCTGTTATATTCAATTGTAACATGTACCATGTCCTCACTGCACTCACCACCCTCTATCACAAAGAACACATTCAGTCACTGGATATATAATCACTACACAACATGGCCTCATAATGCTCAACATATCTAATCAGTGGGATAACTCCTACACTCAACTATGAATCAGCATCACCAGCATCACCAGGAACACCGCGACAAAAAGGCATAAATCCACCTTTACTCTGTTTTATTTGTTGTGTTCCAGCTTTGGCCCTGCAGACGTCATGGAGAGGCTACAGGGAGAGAGCCAAGTACCAGCGCATCAGACGTGCAGGTCAGAGCACCTTCCACAGTTTCCTACCTCTCCTAAACTGGAATTGAAAACAGACTACTCACAGAAATAAATGTGTTTTATTATGGTTCATGTGTTTTCATCATTTGGATGTATTTTAATTTTGCTGTCCAAACAAGTTTAAGTTTGAGTCACTCTCAGATGGAGTTTTACTTTCATTATTACTTCTCTAAATGCTGAGTTTGGATTTCTTTCATTGACATATTGGCACTATGTCAAATCGAAAATACATATCTGTCTGCTTACCTGGAGTGTGATCTATCAATATAGAATGCTTTGGTGTGAGTTGCTGAGTGTTGGAGATATTTGCCCTAGAGATGTCTGCCTTCTCTCGGATATGATGAAGCTACATGGCATGTGTGCTCAGAGTGCCAAAGAAAACCTGGACAGCAATGTCTCTTTCTAGAAATCATGACCTGTTTACTCAAGATAATCCACAGGCCATGCTGTGAGCAGTTTCATACAGGAATTGTTTCCTTTCTACTCAACTACACACGCCAACCATATCACTCATGGACAGGAGGCTCGTGCTTATGACAGAGCAAGATGTAAACATTAATGGCATCCTCCTCAGCTACGCTGTAACATTAGCTAGCTCAGTGGTGCGACACTAGCTAGCAGTAGATGCACGCTTCCTTCTGCGCAGTGATACGGTTGGTGGGTGCATGCTTGTGTTTTCTGTGGAGATTTTTCTTAATTTCACTTTGCAGCAAATCTGTTTGGGCCTAGCTGACTTCCTGTGCTGTACTAACTTTGGGATGTTCTCTTTGACTGAGTAAAAAGATTGTCTTGGTGTTAATATATTAATAAACATGCATGTATGTGTATGTATAGTGATTGTGATCCAGTCTGGGTGGCGAGGGATGAAAGCACGCAGGAGGGCTAAGAGGCGTCGACAGGCTGCCGACTTAATACGCAGGTGCTTGACTGATACTTTGTTATGATTTGTTTCTGTATGTGTTTTTGCGACAGCATGTTGCATGTACAGTTAATTCCCTTCCTTGTGTCTGTGTTCTTGTTTTTTTCAGGTTTATAAAGGGCTTCATCTACCGCCATGAGGAATACTGCCCTGAGAATGAGTATTTCCTGGATCATGTACGCTACTCCTTCCTCAAACATCTGCGCAACAACCTGCCCAAGAGTGTTTTGGACAAAAACTGGCCGACACCTCCTCCCTCCCTCGTTGAGGTGCGAACACACAGACAGTCTGTTGGCTCACATCACTATATCTCTTATACACGTGACAGAATGAATAGGTACTTGTAGAAGTATGGAAGCTGAAAAAGGCCGTGCTTCCAATTATTATTTTAATGCCATTATCTGGAGATCATGACATAATTATTTTGCTATCTCTAGAAAATTAGCTTTGTTATCTCGTAATAATGAGACAAGGTCGTTCCCTCTTATTAAACTACTGATAATGTTTCTCAGAGATCAGGAGTGCTCTACCAACATGCACAGATGGCGTATTGACAACTGTAGCAACTGATTTAAACTTTAAAAATTACATAAAGAAGCACATCCCTTCTCAGCTTCCGTATAAAAGTGAATAAGGATCTGCAGAGTCACTGATTTTATATTAATGATGCGTTGTCAATTCCATGGTGCCGTACAGGCCTCTGAGCACCTGCGGCGGCTGCACATGAGAAACATGGTGATCAAGTACTGCAGGAGGGTCCAGCCTGAATGGAAGAAGCAGGTACACTTCCTATAAAAGCCATGGCCTTACTTGCTTTAAAAGTAAAAAAAAAAAACCCAAAAGATATTACAGTTGTGCTATTTTTTCATCTTTCTTGATTTTTATTTCTAGATGATGCAGAAGGTTGTAGCCAGTGAGATCTTCAAGGATCAGAAAGACGGCTATCCTCAGAGTGTTGGACGGCTGTTTTTGGACTCCAGGCTGGGTATGTGTTGATACATGCGTTCATTGCCTCTGTGCTCATTAACACCGTACAAAAGAATTAACATTTAACAGAGACTTTCTAACTGCCTTACACAGAGCGTGAGCAAATCAATCTCAAAGTCGTCCAGACCCTCGGCAATGACAAAGTGCAGGTGGGATTAAGCTTTTTACTCAAAGCAATGATAATTAAAGTGCTGCGTAACTTTTCAGCTCCCTCACAGTAACGCGTCTCCTTATGCTTCTCAGTACGGCATTCCAGTCGTTAAGTATGACAGGAGGGGTTTCAAGCCTCGCCCTCGCCAGTTGCTCCTCACTAACACCTTTGCCGTGCTGGTGGACAGGACCAAGATCAAACAGAAGATTGACTACAACGCTCTGAGAGGTGAGAACCAGCCCTGAGTGGAGGTATTATATCATGATATTAAGCAATGTTCTTGAATCTGTGATCACCACTAAGCTCATTTTCAGTGTGTTGTCATTGCCAAGGAGGAGATTTTACAGTTATAGTTTTCAATTTATCTTTTTTCTTTGACCTTCAGCAGTGATAACACCTCAATTACTGTGTGTTATCAGTGCACTTCTGCAGAAATATCCATGGCAACCAAGTAGTGTTTGTGTCTGGCTTTCTTATCATCCTTTGGCAGAGGAAACAGTTTCTATGAGCGAGATACTTGTAAAGCTACAGTTGATAACTTTTATGAAAACAACTTTTTGTCATATTTGCTGAAACTGTCATCCACACAGTGCAACATGAGACAGATAGTCTGTGAAATAGAACAAGGTTCCTCCTCCTCCTTGTTGTGCCTCTCATGGTATATGCTGCTCATGAACTGCTGTCAAACTGTCAAACTAGGCAGTGTTGATCAAATAGGAATCAAGATTCAAGTGAGCTGTTCAGCTGTAAATGACGGTGCTTCATTTTGGCAGTTTTCAACATGTCACAAACATTCTCAATTTACAGCTAAACAGTACACTAAAATATGTTTCTGAAAGCACTGCTAAGTTTGACAGTTTGACCGCAGTTCACGAGCCGTGATTGACAGCAGTTTTTGATGCAAATGCCATTAGGAGCACTACAAGAAGGCAGAGGAACATGATTTTTTTTGCAGAGATTATCTGTCTGTGTACTACTGTGTGGATGTAATGTCAGCAAATATGTTTTTTTTTTTGTTTTGTTTTTACCAACTACAGCTTTAAAGGGAAATTTCGGTTTATTTCAACCTGTCTCCTATCGTCCTAAATTTGTTTCAAGTGACTAGTGACATAAAAATAATAGTTAGCATGTTAGCCGTTAGCCTAGATACAGCCGGGGCGCATAGTAGCGTCAGACCTGTTAAAACGTAACTAGTCACTTGAAACAAATTTAGGACGATAGGAGACAGGTTGAAATAAACCGAAATTTCCCTTTAACTGAGAGGAGGACCATTTGTAATGAAACCAAATCAGGAGATGGGGACAAAAGAACGTGGCTAAAATGTTACTGATTTCATTGCACTTGTGTTCTTTGGTTCAAGAGGTCCAAGCAAAGTTTTCTCTTTAAACAGGCATCTCTGTGAGCTCTCTCAGCGATGGGATGTTTGTTCTGCACATGCCCAATGAGGACAATAAGCAGAAGGTACAGTCCGACACAACAGTCACGACTGTTTACTAATGCGCAACATGCAACCACTCTAAATCCAGCTGTGTGTCTCTCAGGGCGACGCTGTGCTGCACTGCAACCATGTGATTGAGCTGGTGACAAAACTAGCCATGATGGCCAGCAAGGTCAACTACGTCAACATCAGCCCGGGCAGGTAGGGCCTCTCTGACGGCTTCTCTGTGGTGGTCTTTGCCAACCCAACAGTTCTCATGTTTCTATACTGTCTCCTGTTTGTCACCTCCTGTGTGGCGTGCAGCATCAGGTTTGCTGTGGCTCGAGGCAAGGAGGGAATCATTGATTTCGTCCGGGGCTCTAAGCTGAAGGTGGCAAAAGGCAAGCGAGGACATCTGCTAGTGGTGAGTCAGTGGCTGTTCTGATGTCATGTGTGCAGCCTGCAGGGAGGAAAGGGTTTTTTTCATAAAAATATTCCGGCCTGCTGACTGTTTTCAATCTGATTTCACTCTGCAGACTGCCCCTCGGATCAACACCACGTGAAGAAACAAAAAACACAGCAACCAGACAAACAGTAATCCTTTTAGCTAACTGGAGGATTGCCACTCAGAAGTTAAGTGTTTGTAGCCGACAGGATGATAACACAAGCACACACAACAGAAGGAAGATCCCTTATAATTCATAAGCATCTTCATTATAACAAGAATGTCTTCAATGTTACAATAATGACTGAACCTTTTTTTTAAAGATAAGAAAATCATAACGTGAAGTCGCCACCGTTTCAAATGCTTCATCTCTTTATTGTCATACATAAATATATTTCCGCTCTGTCAAATATAAAACATAAAAATGTAAAACACTGTATCTCTATATTGTAAGAGACATAAAATAAACCACTTTAAAATAAATAGCATGTCAATAAATATGTCAATAAATAGTAAATATAACTCTGGAAAGTCCAATAGACTGAGGGTTGGGGGAAAAACAGGATGTTGGGAAGTGCTTTTCTGTTCGGGCAGCTTATTACTAACTTACAGTTAGAGGTGAGACAGAAAGTCTGGGAAATACCCAAGAAAGCCCTTAAATATACTGTAAAACACAGAGTAAAAAATGCAACTAGCTAAAGTGACAGCTCCGTATAAAGTGTTGACAACACCTCTAAAACACCGATGACAACTCTTATTCCAATTAGGTGCTGATCATCACTTCAGCCTTTTCTTCCTTTTGCCTGTTTGTGTTGTTGTCAGGGTGCCGGCGTTCTGCTTTCAGCGTTGAGTCATCAGTGTGTTTTTGAAGCCAGGAGGAGGAAGTCTCTTGCCAGCTTGGTGAGGTAAAGGTCTAGATCCCTCAGAATGACGTAACCCTCCACTCGGCTGTCCCATACTGTTTTGGATCTGGTTTGTGGGTTTACGGGTGCCGTAGGAGAGGTTGGCTTCGTCCAAGAGCTCCTCATGTAACTCATCTAGTGTAGAAAGCAAAAGTACTTTTCATCAGACCTCAGTGTCACTTCCTCTAAAGTATGTGTATGCTACAAAGGGGGATACAATGGGAGTGGATTTTAGTAAGACTGTGGTTGTACCTGACTGCTGACTTGGCTCATCAGGTCCCTCAGGTCCAGCTGAATGTGCCTGATGCTCTGAGGTAAAGTGGTGCCGACCGCCCGCGCCACCATCTGCTCTTTCTCCTCCTTCTCCAGCTGTTTTCTCTTCCGCTCCAGCATATTCCAATAGGCTTGCATGTCCCAGAAAGCAGCATGCAGTCGTTCCCAGTCCTGAGCGCACAACGAGAGACAGCCACATGGTTACATAATCAAAATGTTGCACAACCCCCCTCTCTTTGCTTGAAATTGTAAAAGGGGAATTCCGCTCAAATTTTTACAAGTTTTTCATTCTGCAAGAGCAGACTCTCTGACAGTGTCATGAGGTTTCGTTTTTTTTCACCACATAAGGTAAAAAAATTCTAAAAACAATGCAAGAAATTCTCAGAAAACTTTGAGACAGTGTTTTGCAGAAAAGCAACCAAACTGTTAGGAAACAATAAGATACAAACCGTCAGCCTGAGCCAGCCGTAGAAATCTGTAGAAAGCAACGGCAGGTCCTTTAACTGCCGACTTCTGTCCTCAAAGTGCTTGTTCCCCAACTGCTGCTCCTTCTATCAAAGTAAAGAGTTGTTGTTGTTAGGGAAAGCTAACACTGGTTGTGTACAGAGCTCACAGTGATAAGCTGGCCAGTCAGGGGAGCAGGGAGTAGTTGTCAGCACTCACATATTTCCTCTGCAGCTGCTGGACACGGGTTCTGGTGGACCTCGTGAGACGGAAGGAGTTGTTGTATTTGTTCCTCTGGAGGAGTGGAGATGGAGAGGACGACTCCACACAGTTCAGCACACAGCAGAGGAGGACGAGAGCCTGCCACCAAAGAGTCATCTGAAACACACGTGACCAGAGATGTGGGTTATAAATCATCTTTTGCTTACAGTTTATTATCTTTTATGACTGGAATTCAAGCGCCATCACATCACATAACTGTAAAGACATGACCTTTAGTGTCACTTCCAACGCAAACTACTGCACAGCATTCTGGTCAAGTACGTGGATTCTCTTTATGGGAACTTAAATGTCAATCTCCATGCTTAGTGTGCGTATGGAAGTCTGTTACTATTTCTGAAAGACAATCCACCCACACATCCTGTAACTTCCACCACACAGCATATTCATACAGACTTTTTCCTCAAGTCATCCAGTGACACTACAGATGGTCTGGTTGAATAGGAAACAAAAGGGTCTTGATTCCTCAAATGGTTTCAGCGTGGAAGGAAGCATTTTCTCAGAGTCTCAGAGATCCCAATCAGCCGACTACACATTAAAGTCTTTGCTAACACATCACTTCTAATCTGTCGCAATAAAGAAGCAACTTTTCCTTCTTTATTTTGGTCTCTATATGCACTTACATCATGAGTAGCTTACATCAACACAGTTTTCCTGATGAGTCAACATCTTTCTCACTCACATGAAACCATGACCATTGTCAAGTTGTCTCTCCAGATAACTGACAACAAAAGCTTCCTCACTTCTACACAAACGGCGGAAAAGTTATTGGAACTGAACCCAGTATGGATACTAGATGTTATTCCATGAACATGAACACTGCAGCTGCCCGACAGGCCTTTTTTACTTGAAGTTTGACACTGACAAGAAAAAAAAATCCAAGAAATAGAAATAAAATGTCACCAACAAATGATTGCATTTATATTGACTGCCATAGCTACACTGTGCATCTGTCGCTACCACTGCTGTGTCTTAAATATGCTCACATACAGTAAATTAATCCAAACCCTGGAATAATATCAAAATAAATATATATGTGAATAGACAAATACCCAAACCATCAAGCCAATATTAGACGCATTGTATTTTTTAAGATGGGCTTACCTTGGAGGAGTAGTGAGCGAGAGCAAGATACCTTCATGCTTTAGTGAGGCACATGTACTGTTTATATATTTGTCAGGTTCTTGCTTTCGGTTTCTGACAGATCTGGAGTTTTTTTTTTCTTCTTTCTTTCCTCTCTCTCTCTCTCTCTCTCTCTCTCTCTCTCTCTCTCTCTCTCTCTCTCTCTCTCTGTTTCCGCATCTTGTGGTAACCAGCCGAATGGAGGAAGTGAACTAAAAAAATGAATGTACTTGTAACACATGTGGGGAATGAGTGTTTCCAGGAGCGCTGATTAAGTGTCTTGGTAGCCGTGGGCTATGATACTCATTTGAAGTAATATTTTATATAATAAACAGTTTCCACGTACTGTATGCCCTCATGACTCTAAGTACACAGTGTGGTTGTGTACTCAGAATGCATCACCCTTTTACCAGGATCATTAAAGTGAAATGTCAAAGATGCACTGCTTTAATTACCTGCCAAGACAACGTTGCAGCAGCTGGTGCTGTTCTCACCTTGCGAGTTGTTACCTTCTCCTACCTCTTTTTTTCTCACCGCTGCTTTTATTGTTTGAAAGGCATGACTGCTCACTGGGTTTGCTCAGCTTGTTTGTCTTGACAGATTTTGCACCGACTGTGAACTAGCTGCCTCAAAGAATCGTCTTGTCACATAATCAAATAAAGACGATTCTTTGAGGCAGCTAGTTCAAAGAATCGTCTTGTCACATAATCAAATAAAGACTTGACACTGGACATCAACATACATACTACCCAGAAATCATATATAGAGTTTTTTCTATAGTTTATAGAATAAGAATATATGTATGTATATAGACTGCTACTGATTGTCTTACCCTCCAAAAAATCAGAATCAGAATCAGAATCGGAAATACTTTATTGATCCCCGAGGGAAATTATTTAAAAAGTAATTTTAAAAATGGAAACTATTTTTTTTTTAAAAATTTAAATGAAAAGTATTTTAAAAATAATTTAAAAAATGAAAACTATTTAAAAAATTATTTTAAAAATGAAAACTATTAAAAAAATAAAAAGTATTTAAAAAATATTTAAAAAATGAAAACTATTTTAAAAACTATTTTAAAAATGAAAACTATTAAAAAAATTAAAAATGAAAAGTATTTAAAAAAATATTTTAAAAATGAAAACTATTTTAAAAACTATTTTAAAAATGAAAACTATTAAAAAAAATTAAAAATGAAAAGTATTTAAAAAAATATTTTAAAAATGAAAACCATGATGGAGATGAGTTTGCCTTTTTGTGGGCATTTATATCAAATGGCACAGTTTTTAACTGAATGTGAGTTCTTCTTGGAACACAGGCGCATACAGTGTCTCTACTTTACAGATGTGTAGGTGAGGTCAAAATGAAGGTCAAGTTCAAAGATGGGCAAGGTCTAAGCAAGGGGGCCTGAAGTAAAGCAATAGGAAGCCGGCAAGGGGCCGGTGACCCCTCAACTTCAAGCTCCTAACACACATTTGTTTTAAGTTGCATATTGCTGTAATGCAGCTGGAGTGATCCCATAGCAAGATGGTCTCTTTATTTATTCATTACTGTTAAGATTGTTACCCTCTGGTAAAATTACAGCTATGTATATTAATGTGCACTCAAACACTGAGTATGCAGTATGCAGCTTCATTCCTGAAGACTTTCATTAAATGTTTCCTTTAACACGAATGTGAAAGTGGCAAGTTGTTAAAAACTACACAATTTTTTTTACAAGGCAGTGAAGTTTAGTGTTGACTGTGCATCTTAAGGGAATATTTCAGGAGTCTCATGATGTCGATGAGTAATGACTGGCACAGTTTCAGTGAATCTCACAAAACGGAAAAGAAGACACAAAAAAAAGGTCCCTGTCATTATGACTGTCGTTATTACTAGTTATTATTGGAAGGAAGTATTTTGTAATAGTTCCTATATCAGGGTGATGTCTACTCATCTTGCATCTATTTCATTCATTAAAATCCTACTTGCTTTAGCATTTGTCATCTTAATAGATACTATTATTGGAGCCTCATCCTGATTTTGTATGAATCTTTTTGTTTGTCTTTATTTTTTATTTTTATTTAACCTTTATTTATCCAGGAAGTCTCATTGAGATTGAGACTGTCTTTTACAGAGGAGACCTGGCCGAGGTAGCAGCCAATAAAAACACACTGAAATGCAACAAATATCATACAAAAATCCACAATAAAACAACAACTATTCAAACATAGTCGCCTCTCAAGAAAGACGAGCACATGCCTCTATCACCACATTCTTTGTGACATGTAAGACAGATAGATATGAAAGGGGGGCACAACAGTAAATGACATCCCCAGGTCAGAGCACAACAGAGCTGTTGTTGCATGTTTGTCAAAAAACTTCTCTTCAGATTAAAATGATGATGGTTACCGGTGTCATATATGTGTTATATATGTGTAAAAGGTTGAGGTTCTAGTGTGGCATCACTGCTGCCATGCAAAGTCATCATCACAGAAGAAGTCATGAAGAATAAACTTTGTCATTGTCCCGACCCCTGCCAACTTTTATGTCATAATCTGATGTGTTTTCATGCCGTGTTGCTAACTCGTTTAGATCCTGCCTGCCTTCCATGTTGAATTGATTGCTTCTGTGTCGAACTTTTGGGTTCTAGTTTGCCCATTGGTGTAGCTGAGGCAGGTATACACACCTATCAGCCAAAAGGCCAATGGAATAAATAGGAGAGTATACCCACTTCCTCCTCTGTAACCTACCCATCTACCTGATAATACACCCACCTCATCAACTACCACCACACCACTGACTCTACCCATCATCCAGTCATTACAGTCATTACCCCTACACGCCATTTACTGTGGATTTGACTGTAGGTTTCCATGTGCCTCCAGTCACATCTCCAGCTTTAATTAGTCCGATCCTGCTTCGTTCTTTCAAAGTATTCTTGGTAGCTTTTAATTGAAAACGTTATTGAAAGTATATGTGTTGTGGTTTTCCTCATGGTTAAGGGGACAGCTCATGCTTCCAGAAAATTGTGCAACTACGAGGGGGTTGATATTTCTTTTGAGGTAAATTCCCAACCAGAGATGAACCCAATGCGTATACAGTGCGTATGGGAAGTCACCCAAGATTCAAAGGACTGGGGGTGTAAACTGTCATCATATTGGAAACTGAACAAGATGCTGTGCTGATTGAAGTTTTTCATTATCAATCAGTGAACTAAAAAGCAATACAGTTGAAACATGAGTGCAGTAACAGTTTGAGTGTGATGATGCATGTTTAGTGTACAAAATACTGCTGCTGGTACACATTAACATGCAGCTGTAATAGCATAACCTTTGATTGCTCTGGTCTTTTACTTCAATCAGTTTCATTCCAGTACTAAGATGACATAGATTTAAGCCATCTATCATTAGAATGTATAGCCTGATTGTCACCTGGGGCCTTGTGCAGACTTGTTTGATTCAACCATGCCGAGAAGCAAGAAAAAATAAAAGGATAACTAAATAAATCCTTGTGTTTAATGAACACCAAGCAGTCTCTTCTTACATCCACACATAATCTCCTCTACTGAGCCTGTGTCCACACAGAGTAAACGACATGTATTCTCTGAGGATGGGATTTATTCAATGGAAAAGTGTCAGCGACCACACCTGATGGGATCAGATGCATTATCGTTCACATGGTCAGAATAAAGACTCTGATAGAAAACAAGTGTGTTAAAGACACTGTATTGAACATTTGGAAGTCTATTTGATGTATATATTTTTATGATCACAATGCTGTCCGTCTACATAATAAAACTAATAAAATCTTTTACAGCAGCAACATTTTATGGAACAACATTTCTGTTCTGATGATTTCTCTTTCTTTAATTATAGACAACAGGGAAATGAGAGGTTAAAATGAGAAGCTTACTCAACGGTAACACTTTTACTTCATTCACTAACACATATCTCACAGTCATTTTTGTTGGTTTACTTTGTTTGAGTGTTAAAAGTGTTTTTAGAGTGGTTTGTTATTTTTTTTAACAGGTATGACAAAATATGCATCATTCTTTGTGGTGACAAGAAAAGTTACAGCGTCACAAGGACTAACACGCAGGACAAAGATAAAACTTTTTTTGTGAAAATTCCTCTGAGATAAGCCCCGTGTCATCATTAGTTTCAAAATATCAAAAAATCTGAACACATTCCTTGAAAATTCCTCCCCACTAGAAACACTAAACAACTGGTGGTTTCAACCTACCTCTTTGTGTTGTGGCAGTTTCACTTTGGCATATCAGTGTACAGTACACAAGTCTAGAGGGTTTCTCTATATTGTGTGTATGTATACACAGCTGAGGGCAGAGGTTGTCAGTGTTACTGTGAATGTTCAGGGTTCAAAGCTCATTCTGTCTCGTAAAACTACAAGAGCAACTGTCACATATATGTGTAGGGTATTACCTTCTTACGTTAAATCTAATTTAATCAATTAAATCATATTATGTAATGGTTCAAATGGCTGATAAAGGTGTTCCACAAAGATCAATACGAGGCCCCCTGTTACTTACTCTATGCATGGATAATGTTTATTTTCCAGCATTTAACATGTATTGATTTCACAAGAATGCTGATGTTCCTGTTCTGATCTGTGCTCTCAATGGAAATCTAATCAATACAGATTAAGGAATTTGATTAGATAGATGGTGAACACCTCAGTTACACATGATAAAAATTACAATTGGAATCTTATACCATAACGGACAATGGCATAAGGTAGTTGTGATGGGCCCTAGTGCATGCTAGTTGCTAGTTATGATACACACACACCAACACACCAGTAAGCATCAGAATGATGTGTGTGTGTGTGCGTGTGTGCATGTGTGTGTATTCTCCTTGTTTTTTCTGTTTTATGTTATTCTGTTTTTACTCTAATGCACCTTACAGATGTAGCTAGCACAATTTTGTTGTATAGGTGTCTGTACAATGACAATAAAGATTTTATCTTATCTTGTCTTGTCTTGTCTTGTCTTGTCTTGTCTTATGTTATCTTATCTTATCTCATCTCATCTCATCTCATCTTATCTTATCTTGTCTTGTGTTATCTCAACTCATCTCATCATATCTAATCTTATCTTATATTGTCTTGTCTTATGTTATGTTGTTATGTTATGTTATCTCATCTTATCTTATCTTATCTTATCTTATCTTGTCTTATGTTATCTTATCTTGTCTTGTCTTGTGTTATCTCATCTCATCTCATCTCATCATATCTAATCTTATCTTATATTATATTGTCTTATGTTATGTTATGTTATCTCATCTTATCTTGTCTTATGTTATCTTGTCTTATATTATATTGTCTTGTCTTGTCATATGTTATCTCATCTCATCTTATCCTATCTTGTCTTGTCTTATGTTATCTTATCTCATCTTATGTTATCTTATCTAATCTTATATTATATTGTCTTATCTTATGTTATCTCATCTTATCTTATCTTATATTGTCTTGTCTTATCTTATGTTATCTC